AAATCGTGAAAGCGACTTTAAACGCACCAAGCGAATAAATTACTATGAAAATAAGTAAAGAAAGTGATGAAAGACCAAATATTTCATATCAGTGTAGAGGATTATTATTGAACATAATTGGACATAATTATTGAAAAGTTAAAAAATTTTAGAATTCTACCTTTTACACAAAATTGACATTAATTTAAAAAATAAGAATGATCAATAATAACTGTTCTTAAAATTTAACGAGTGCAAAATTTAATTAATTCTTATGATATTTGAGATCACGCGCATAGTCGATATTTATGGCGCCGATTTGCTTCTTTTTTTTCATCACAAAATTATACAATGCTCCTGTGTGTGCACGCGTGTAGAAAAATACGTGCATGCTCGCTGATTTGAAATATCTTGTAACGCCAGACTGCATTTCTACAATGCGGAATGTTAAGTGTCTCCGAATGTACTTTATATTTTTATTGATTATAATTCGCTAACGTCTTTTAACAATTAAATATCTACTATTATAAATTTGTGAATGGAAGGAATGATCGTAAAAGAGAACCATAATACGATCGCCACTGAATGAAAGTTTAAAAATAAATAAATATATATAATATTGCGTGCTTGTCCTCCCTCCTCCCCTATTTACTGAAAACGGAAAAGGATATTATAGATGCGTGTTACTGCCTGTAAATGTAAATTGAGGCGCATCGCAATTTTTCACATCGCGTAATTACTGGCATCACGCAGTAATATACAATAATAAGAAAAACATATGTTTTGTGTATTTATATTTATATCGTAATAAACATAGTTATTTTTTTTTCCTAGAAAATCGTTATTTATTCTTTGTTTGAAAAAATATAATCATTAGATTATCATTAACTTTTGTCGATTATATTCGGTTTAAAATAGTTATAAAGTTTTTGTTTCAAAAATATTTATGGTTTATAAATATCATATGTAAAATTCATTCTACTTTTGCTTGAAGATAGATGCGGAACTCAATTTGGTTAACGATTTTTCGTCTGAAATGGGAATGATCTTTTTAGAAACAACATACATTTCCACTTATACTTTCTCCTGCCCGAGAATAATCGTCGGAATCAAATTTATAATGCATTTTTGTATACGATTTCTCTTTCATTGCTCATTTAGTGAATTTTATTTTGACATGCTGCATAGTTACACGTCTAACAAATTAAGCACAAATTGTATATATATATATATATAATAAGAATTGTAAAATTATTTTTCCTTTTATACATCCATTATCATTTTGACAAAGTTAACAAATATAAATTGAAAATTAACTTGTTCCTGTTTTCGCACGCTAATTAAAATTTCTTCATGTTTGAATGGGAAGTACAGTTTTTAAAATCGTGGAGCAGTCTCACAACACGCACACACACACAAAACATTCACATCACGTTAAAACTTTCTTGAGTGGCACAGCAGGAAGAAGAACGGAACAATCGCAATCCAAAGAGATACGTTTAGGGAGCGGTGCGTTTCAACGCTTGGATAACTCTATTATCCGTATTTGGAAAGCAACCGACGGTTTTTCGACCGTCATTTTAATTAACATCTCGCGAGGGAGACCCGTCTCATGATACGCGTTTCATATTTACCGCTAGATTAAGCCCATCGACATGATACGGCGACGTACATCGAATAAATACAAATAACGTCACGCCATCCGAGTTTCACGCGAGAAACCAAGTCATTCTGGCTTTTCCCATAAATACAGCGGACTAGATTTTTCCAGATCTAGGATAGGTATGCAATCTCCACTACCGGAGATCGCGTTGTTGATACACGTCGAAAACTGTTACAAACGGCATATCGTTATTATTGCGTGTCGGAGAAACGTGTAATCCGACTAAATGGATATTCTTTTACGTTTGATTTCCGCTTTAAACGAATTGCTCGCGCATTATTATAAATATAAACATCTTCGGAATCTCGCGTTACATTGATTAATTGCTATTTTCATTCAGTGCTATCATTTGTAGAAAAATTTTTCTATAAATGATAGCATTGAATGTTTATGATAAAAGAAAAATTATATGTGAAAGATATAAAAATTATTAATTACTTAAATATTTCTAAGGAAATCGTTTCATGTTCCTACTATCTTTAGAACATTCGTTATCGAAGATTAGAAAGTCCCTCGTGCAATTACAAAATGCAACGACAGTGCTCAATATAATTGCGTGATAATTTCTGGTTAGAAATTTTATTTACAACTTTAGAAAATTATATTGTGCCTGACAGACGTGCAATTTCTTGGCAGACGTAAAGGTGCGTGCGGAAGTGGTACTTTAAAGAAACGGATTACGGACAACGCAAATCTCGAAACACAATTCCCCAGTCGAAACCGATTTGCCAATCATCATTCATCATCATCTTGTTCGGATTTATCTTGTCAGATTTATATCTCTCTTCTGCCTTACGCGCATTGCCTTCGTGCAAGTTTAACGAACTAATGACGGCGTTTCGTTATTTCGATACCAGAATGTCGGGTACCTATTCTATGTACGGTATTTTCAACAAAAATTTCTCACGACGAATATATTCACACCGTGAACTGTAAATTTTATGACTAACACTGCTCTTACGGTTTTTACGAAACTAAAGACCTTTCTCGAATTTCACTCTAATTGTATATTAATTATATATACTCGTACTTTCTTGTCATATATACACTTTTACTTCATAATTAATGTTGAAGATTTTTAGTGGAATCTTTAGTATTTATATTGCAATTTTGTTCTATAAGTACATCATTTCCGATCGAAAAGATGCATCGAAAACAGTGTTAGTACATTTGAAATTGCATTTTAAGTAATTTTGTATTTTACTTGTTGTATTACCTAATTGAATTTTGTGTCTTTTATCAAAGTCTTGAATAATGTTTTTAAAATGAAGCAATAATAAAACAATTAGCAGATTGGAACAATAGTCGTTATAGCCTCTCGTGTCACTACCCAAACGAAAATGGATTAAAATGGATTGGAAATTTTCAATCCATCCGAATCCATATTTTAAATCTATAAAAATGAATTGGATTTTATATAAAAAATTTTTATACATGTAAAAGTTTAAATAAATTAAAGCAGTAATGAAATTCTACAGTTATTATTTTAAAACTTTTACAAAAAATATATGTTAGTTGTATAATAAAGGAAACGTATTAATATAAAATATACATAAAAGCGAATTAATTTATTAAATTATTAAAAATAAGGAATTTACATATGTAACATTTATTGTATACATTTACGTAGTTCTTTTTATGTTTCTTTTAACTATTAAATGAAGTAGAATTTATGATATATATTTTTATGGTATAACTTTTTTTTTAACTCGCAATCAGTTGAATTAAATTGAAAACTTTCTTATTCATAATTCTGAATAAAATAACATTTATGATGTATTTTTAAATGAAACAATGGATTTTCTACTCACAATTTTGAATAGTATTTGTGGGTCATTTTAAGAAAATGGGCCATTAAAAGAAAAACTTTTTTTTATTCAACTGGATTGAAAAACTGCATTTCCTATTCAGAATTTTGAATTTAACAGTATTCACAAAAACGACTGATGTTATTTTTAGATTCAACTGGATTGAAAAACTGCATTTCCTATTCAAAATTTTTAATTGGACAGCATGTATTTATTTATTTTTTATTTATTTTTAATTGCACACAAAATATTATAATAATATTTTTAGATTGAAAAGCATAGAAATATACTCTATGCCATTCCTATAAATGAATAAAAATGCATTCAAGATTGAAAAGGATTTTCATTTTAACATTCATGAATCCGTATTTCTGAAAATCTGAATCCATTTTAATCCTTTTCAATCCATTCTCGTTTGCTGGGAATACATGTAGCATTGTAAAAGCAGATCACATATGTATATACAGTAGCAAAGTGATACCCATTAATTGATATAGAGAGAATGCGGAGAAAGTCTCAGATCAAAGAGCCAAGCAAGGCTCAGCATCGAAGACTTTATGATGATTAATCACGAAAAGAAAATTAGTTCTATCGAATTAATAAATCAATGACTGAACAGATGTTGACTTACTTAATAATGCGAAAATAAAAATTACATTGTGTAAATGTAATTATAAAAAAATATATATTTGAACGTAAAGTGTACTACCTCTTAATATGAATGATTGGATTATTCTCGTGTATCAATTAAGTAATTAATATAACATAAATTTCTTTGAATAGCCTTACAAATAATTTCTAAAGATGTTAAAATATGTATAAGACTCAATAATTTTATTATACTTATAAAAGTAATGAAAATTAACTCGGAATGACTCATCATGTGTGTAGTAAAGAACCGGAAACCATCGCGTATGTACCAAGGATTATTTAAATCTAGAGAAAACGTGAAAATAATGCAGAGATCATCTCGATAGAAACAGGTTTGAATTATATTCTTAAATAGCTTGAATAGCTTATATCTTGATACAATATAAGAGGGATCCTTCTTTTTCCTCTGGAAAAGTTTAACATTAAGAACAAAGTGATTAAAACAAATCTCCCAATTAGGCTGTTTAACGGAGAAGATCACAGTATAGGGAGCGGAACGTCCCTACACATCGATAATAATGGTATAATTACGAAAAACAGTGATATGGAAGATTGAGCACGTTAATGGATTCATTACTAAAATGATTCAACGACGACTCGTACAGGCTTATGATTGTTACGGGCGCTTCGGTTTCGATTAAGAGCAAAAGTGTCATGAAGAGTGAAGATGCGTCAGCAAGAGTGAAGCGTCGAAAGAGGTGCGTACGAACGAAAGTGTGCCGTTCGTACGTCGATGTGCATATATCGTACTCCTGTTTTAAGGGAGGAGGGGGAGACAGTTATAGTTCCTCGGATTACGAAGAGTCCAAGTGGTATGCTCGAAGTATGTTTGCCTCAGTGGGGGCAGCGACATAAGTACAGACGATCTTAAGAAAAGCTCTCATTCTGATAGAAGATCGCAAATCCACGAAATCTGTGCAACGTGCGATACCATCCCGTTCAGCTGTTCGCCGGCTGAAGGGCGGATAGGAAAAGAGACGGATCAAGAAACGGTTTGAATGTACTTTGGGGAGAACGGCATCCGTGAACGAAAAGAAGAGACATTTGGGACCGAACTTGACGTTATCCATCGTATCTTTTTGTCTGCGAGACTCTAATACGCGGTGAGTATGCGTGAGTTTCTGTCATAATTTTTCGAATACACTAAGTTTTGAATAATTGTGCTCTTGAAACGCACGATATCGTGATGGATTAATTATGGAGGTAATTGCAACAACAATTTTGTGAAATTGGGATCACGCGGATCTTAATCGAAATACATAGATATGCGCGAGACATAAAAAATAATATGACGTATAATAGAGAAATAAATAAACTCTCTAATTTCTTTGGAGAACCTCATTCTAAAAGAGTGAACGTTGAGCTAGAAAATTGAGCTTGAAAAAGAGTGACTTAATTTTTACTCTTTTAGAGTGAGATTTACCCTAAAAAAAGTTTTAGAGATAAAAAAAAAAGATCTAAATAAGAGCTCACTGAAAGAGAGTACGTTTAAACAATTTGATGAATCTTGATTATCTATATTTATTTATCTCTTACAAACATTGATGTAATCAATGATTGTCAAATAGGTTTAATTAATTGATCAAATTATTAATTATTGAAACACCTAATGTCACTTTCGAACAGGCGATCAATCGATCAAATTATAATCTTGATCGTCGCTTTTGTTGTACGTGAGTTTGGTACTCACAATACAAATTTTAAGAGTCCAAAATTACTATCAGTGATCGATTGTTCATGTTGTTATCTCATTTAAATATCCTAATGGATTATGTAAAAGGAAGAAAATCTGATCAAGTATACAAATAATTTAACCACTAGTTAACATCCCAACAAATGAGAATGGATTAAAATGGATTGAAATTTTTTTCTATCCGAATGCCATATTTTATAAATAGCGAATACTTTTTTTGGATTTAATTGGATTCAATTGGATGCAATTGGATTGAAAAACTGCATTTCCTATTCAAAATTTTGAATTGAACAGTATTCACAATGTGTTTTTGTGCACAGAAAAATCTAATATTATTTTTAGATTAAAAGGCATAGAGATATGCTCCATCCAATTCCTATAAATGAATAAAAATGCATTCAGGATTGAAAAGCATTTATTTTAACATTCGTGAATCAATATTTCTGAAAATTTAAATCCATTTCAATTTCATTTCAATCCATTCTCGTTTGCTATTCAAAGTGGCACGTATTTATATAAGATCTCTTAAAATTTTTATTATATATTGTATCATCAATCTTTGCATTTTTATCGTGTAAAAGATTTTTATCGGCACGAAAGATTTTTACTACCCACGTGATTATTCGTGTACAAAAGTTAGTACAATCACGTACGACCTTTCACAGGTGATCGCCATACTAGCATCATGTCGATCACGATCTCTATCGCCGTTCCATCAATTGGTATTCTTGCAATGTCGATTTGTCCGGACAGCTAGTCAAGCATGAGAAAAGCGCGATGAATTCTTATGATTTAGATTAACTTGGCAATCGAAATCGTCACGACACGCGCCGTTCGTGAATGATAATGTGACAAAACCGCTTTTTCTCGTTATTATTTCACTGTCACTATCATTTAACTAACGATCTATCGTAGGACATCATGTATTTTTAAATTGCCTTTTCCAAATTTGATTTAATTATAAATTTTGATAAAAGTTTATATTTTATAATAGAGTCTGCAATATTTGTGTACATATTGTATTAATATAATAATAATTATTGTTATTGATATATAGTTTCTGATTTATAGTTCATGATTTATATTTTAAGCTGCAAATCCATAAATTCCGTTTAATTTTTTTTCAACGTTGCAAAATTTAATGTAATATGATCAATTTGCCAATCGTTCTCATAAAAAATTATTGCTAAATTATTTTTCGACAATCATCTCTGCTTCTTTCCTTACAAATCGTCGTTTTTCACGACGAAAACAATATAAAAGCTTATTTTTATTATCTACGGATTTAACTGTTTATTTTTATTATTATTTATAAGATAGATCATAAAAATCATTCATGTAGGACGATTTTCGTATTTCATAGCAGTGTAACAACCGGTTCGGAGTCCGGATTAGAGTTCTTTAAATTTCACTTCTTAACTGTTTCAAATGTAAATAACTGCACTCGTAATAAATGATCAATTTCTTGCGGTAAACCGCCAAGAGTCGATGGTAGCGGCATCTCAAAGGAAGGAAGCGTTTCATGTTTCGAACATTACTGTGCACAGCATCTGGAAAACGAGATGTAGATTATTTCGCGATTTATGTATTCTCGAAATTCGATTCGGCCATTATCAAGAACCAACCGTTTCTACACGATAGTAATTTAATTCAACGTAATTAGCGAAGGGGGATAATGTTTTTAATTATTTATCATAAAATAATAATGTCTCTCTCTCTCAATTAAGATTACTTGCGTCAAATAAATAATTTCTTGATGTTTATATATGATGCCAATATTTCTGCTTCATACATAATAATGTGTTTCCGAAATTCTTCTATGAATACTAATAAGAATTTGAAACGAGGTGAAAGTTTTTTGAGAGCAAAACATGAAAATAAAGTGTATTGATTTTTAAATTACTTTTATGTTACTTTTGTGCAGCATTCATAAGATAAAATTGGAATCTGCGATAGTAAGATATGATCATTGAACTTAATGAGATCTTTATACAACTAAGAAATGTTAATTATTCTATATAAGATACAAAAATTATACAATTTATTGAAAGCAAATTTTCCATATAATATAATCCGTATAAATATAATGAAGCAACATGGATTTTGGACAAATTACAGCAATTTTAAGTTGATAGAATAAACTATTAAAAGATACGAGATTAATAAAAGAAAACAATAAATCATTTGATTATTTAATGTCATTAATAATGTCATTAATCTAAATTTTCGAATCTTTAAAAATGACATATTTAAATGAGACTTAACATTGCTCTATCTAGGTTAATTGATTCATGCATCAGATCGTTTATAAATATACCGCTGTTTCATGTCATTAATATTTTGTACATTCTTAAAAACTTTTTAATGTAATTTTTCCCCCCCTCTCTCTCTCTCTCTCTCTCTCTCTCTCTTTCTGTTTATTTACACAGATTCTCGTCGAAATAATTAATAGAATCATCAATTTGTAATTCCACATAGTGACGATGATTAGTACTTCATACAAGATTCATTGAAAGATATTAATTTAAAAAAAAGTCGCAATTCATGTATGTTATAAACATTAAAAAAATGAAATATATTTTTTATCGATATCATTGAACCAGAAATAATTGCTTACAATTAGTTGTATTGCGTAAAGAAACACTTGTGATGTTTTCTTACACTTCAATAAAAGTTTATTATTAATTGTAGTATATTGTGTAGTATTGATTGTTCTATAATTTATTAGTATTTGAATCATTATGTATATAAATTTATTCAATATTCTCTTTAAAAAGTAAAGAAATATAAAAAAAGGATTCTCGAGCATTAAAAAAATTAATCGTATGTGATAATAAGCTCTATTTTTTCATTGACAGATATACAAATTATCACGAAATATTATCCAGTAATAGTACAGCTCAATTATATTTTATTTTTATGAGAATCGTAAATCGTGTTTTGGAGATATACATATTAGTAAATACGAGCATCAGATTATAACGTTTTCAATTGTACAATAATTACATACAGTAACTCTTTTTGTATAAAAAAAAAAATTTCAAATGGGTAATATAATAAATTAATAATAATATGTAGAATAATCATTATTGAGAATAGAATATATACATTAAATTAGTTTGTATTACAAAAATGAGATATTTTCAAACTCAGAGAATCTCAGTTTCTAACAGACAATTAGCACTTATGAAACCGTTATTATATACGTCAAAATAATTTGTGCAACTATAAAAGTTATTCCAAGTTGGGAAAGGCACATTTTTAGGATTCTAGTCCGGATTACGATGTCGTGGTACATTCACGTTCTCATTATATCGTGAAATTACTTGCAGATCGAGCTGCTAAACTCCGAAATTAATAATCGGGCACTATCGGCGTGCGGTAATTGCGGACAACGTATGGCGAATAGTATGGATTCGCTTGTACCCGATTGCAATCTTGAAAGGAAGCATCTACGGTCTCACAGAGTCCTTCGTCGTCTGCCGTTGTAATTACGAGAGAGCCTTGTAAAGTCGTTGAGAGAATCACGTGCGACTCGAACGACCTATTCTAAATAGGCAATATGTAGTATCCTTTTGTCCTTTCTTTTTTTTATTTACAACAGTGTAAAGATTACCGTGTGAGAAATTCGCGATAAAATTAAATGAACATTTACAGAATATTGCACTATATATTAAATAATATTTATCGAACGATATTGTCAAAGTAAAAAAAAGTCTGTGGATATAATTAAATTTTATAATAATGGCCTAATTAAAAACGCTTTGATTAATTAATCTGTATAAAGACAAACATGGAGATATGCATTATGTAGGATATTGAAAATTTATTGCAAAATAAAAACTCTTCCTTCAATAGCCTATGAATCATCGTATAAGCTTCCGCGCTACATCCTGCGAAATTCCACGTATACGCTATATCGCGTTAAAATCAGTAGCGTAAAATTGGATGATTAAAGAAGCAGCGAATAAGAACGAGTATCTCGTGATAGCTATCTTTTTTTCTTATGTATTTTATGTCAAAAAGCGACATGTATCAATGATTTATCCAAATTAATTAAATGGAATCACAGCACTATTGACTCTTTTATTCTCATTGTCAGTTATATTTGTTTATATAAATTTCTTTAAATTTTAGACATAATTTCAGATGTTTTGAAAATATGATAGTCATTCGTCTTCGAGCTTCTCAGTATTTTATTTATTTGGCATTTCTCTAGTATTGTATAACAAGCGATTAAAAAAAAAAGAGTGGATTTTCACCGGACGTTTGCATCTTCTTTTGCTCAGAAACGATAAAAAAATGGCCCCGTTTCCGCTTCGCGAAGTATAAGTGAGTATAAGATTAATATGCAATTATTCGGGTCAACAATGGAATCCCCAGTCATGTCTATCAATACTAATTCTCTGAGACTCTCTCCTTCCTTGAAATTGAAGATTACCCGTATAAAAAGAGTAATCTATTTTATGAAGAAGCGAAACGCGAGATATAATGATACAACCACATATAAAAAATATAATACTGTATACAATATCGTTTAATGGTTACTGTCATTGATGTATTGAACAGAGTGGTAGTTTCACCTGATTTAATTTTGGGTGGCTGTATATAATACTTTTCATCGGACTAAGTCATATGTACACTTCGTTAATCATTGGACGTGTCGGAAGAAACTATAGATTCTTATTTCGTAAATATTACAGAAAGTGATTATCTGCGAAAAATTACAGCAAAAATCATCATCGTATTATAAATGATATAATATAGCTGGATTCTCTCTCTCTCCCTCTCTCTTTCTCTCTCGAATTTATTATTGAATTTTCAATGAAAATATATTAGTAAACAATAAATTAACAGAAAAAGATAATTGTAATATATAATAGAAAGTAATAAGTGTTTTCTTGTTTATCTCCACGACAAAATTATACACAAACTTAAGTATCTCCAATTATTGATAGCAAAATGGTACATTCCGTTTGCTGCAGGCAGTGATCAATTGTCTTCCTTCCTGTTAACTTTGCACGGTTTTTTTTAAACATAACTATCTGTCTCTCTTATTTTCAAAAAATAAAATTGGGAAGTTTTCAAATTGAAATGATATTCAATAAAAATAAAATTGATGATATAACTCAGAATAATTTTTATTTTCCAAATTAATTTTCATAGAATTTGATGAAAACTTTCCGTAAATAAATGTACAAGAGTGTCTATCAAAAATTTGTCTCTATAATTATGCAAAACACAAAAAAAGTATTGAATAAATTAAAAGTAGTTTATTTATTAAAGATTTTAGAAAAACAATTTTACATATATCTATTTCACATACATATATATGTATGTATGTGCGTACGCGTGTATTCATGCGTTTTGTGAAATCGCGTGAACGTTTACAATATTCGTTTCGTATCATGTACCCTACAAGAGAAATAATACATTACCATGTAATGCTCATAGCGACACATACCGGTGCTTTGTTTCAGAGAATAACGGTCCGTACGCGCATGTACAATGCGAAATACGAGAAATGAAAAATTAGTATACATTAGCGGTATACATTACGTACTGTGTTGAATTTAGCTCTGGCTATTTAAATTTTATTACATATGTATTACATATATATCCGTATATCGTTGGAAAATATCGAAGTAGAAGAATGTCAAGAATCCATAAATAACTTGGGAGCAGCATATATTATTTAAATTAATATACTGTTTTAATTAATATATGCAATGTAAATTAAAAATATATAAATATGATTTGATTGCAAATAAAAACTAAATTCTGATTGTGTATAAAATAGAAGAAAATGATATTTAGAAACAATGTAGGATACAGTATTCGATATAATATTATTAAGATATACTTTTATTGAGTGAGATTTATAAGTCGACGAAATTCCTTCAAGCGATAACGATTATCCATAATGGACGATCCAACATACTTTAATTGGTACAGAATTAACAGTTACAAAATTAATAGATCGTTAGACAAATATTTCTCATATCAATTTAATACATCATGGTTTATATTTCAAAGAAATTTATTTTTACATAAATTATAAATTATCTCAGTAATATTATATCTTTTATCTTTTTCAAAAACTAAATTAGAAATGCTTTATAGCGATCTTCTAAAATAGCAATATTAATAACATTTTATTTTTAAACAATTAAAGATTATATATTAATAATTAAAAAATTTTTTAAATTTTAATCATCAGTTAAAATATTTAATACTAAGGTATTTGAAGCAACTATTACAGATATTAAATTAATTTTACTTTTGTTTTTTTAATTAAAAGTCATAAACTAAAATAATGATACGATAGCATCATAATAATTATATGTATAATATATATACAAATATATTATGTATATGTATATATTTATTAATTTTACATCTTTTGCGTCAAACAAATATCAGTTGATGATAAAATAGTATACTTCTATTATTATTTATTGATAATATTGATAGCTGTATAAAATAATTACTTATAAAAAATAAATCTACACTTTTATTTTTATCTGTAAATAATGCGTAATGTTTTGTATAATTCAGATATTTCTTCTGATAATCAAAAAGTTGGTATCTATAGTCGATAAAATAGATATTCTTCAATTATATTCGGACTCCACTAAATATGTGGCGGAATCTACTGATATAATATTATACGATATATAATATATGCAGGGTTGATGATCTTTAAGACTACACTCCGATTCACGCTCCAACGCTCTTGGAATCATTTTATTATCTTTCTTTTTATTAAATATTAAAGATAAAACGATGCTCACGAGAGTTATCGTGAGAGAATCTTACTTATCGTGTAGAATCGGATCGCAATAACTATTACAGTTTCCAGAGGGTATCGACCACGTACATTTTTTATTATTGATATTGATATAAATACTTCTAAATATTATAATTTACAGTTTATAAAATGTAGTAATAATTTATTTATATTGTAATTTATTATTAGCTGCATATACTTCATAAGTAAATATATATTATATTACAATATATTTACGACATTAATTATTATTGCAAATGTGCTGCTTTTTTGTAAAATTATCACTATTAATAGTATATATTAATCAAACACGAATGAAAACGCCCTTTTAAATAAAAATTGAATATTGTCGTAGATGAATACATATCTATTAAAAAGTGAGAATAAATTATAAAAGAATAATATTATGTTAAAGCTAACTTTGTGCAAATTTTGACAATTACGGAGCCTTTTATAAAATTGTCGGTCTTTAATAGTACATATACTCTGTCAATATTAACACAAATTAATTTAAGTTTTTAATTAAGAAACTTTTATTAAAACGAATCGAGTTATGGAAATAAAAAGAAATAGTCGACTGCTAATAGTTAATGAGCATGTAATGATGAAGCTATTAAACTGCATGATAAACATTTATTGAAAGACTTTCATCGGGTATCATTACACTTACATCAATTGTATTGATTGAACTAGCTGTAACGTAGACCGATGAAAAAGCTGTCATTTTCTTCATATCACAAGGATAAGTGAATAGAAATGATTCGAAGCATTGATTGCGAAGAAACAGAAAATAAAAATCTATGAAATGGAAAGGAAAAGAGAGAAAAATTCTGAGATAGTAATTAATGTTAGAACATCGTTAGGACGTTATTTTTGGAAAATTATTTATATAGCAATAAAACATTGATTTAGTAATAAAATATACATAATGTAAGACATACAAAAGATGTGAATATTGAAAATATAACTCAAGTGCTTGCCTTTAAAGCTACCGATATGTAGAAGGAAGTTGACATTGTCTCGTGTTTAGTTAGGAATATCCATCGAAGGACAAATGCGAATGGGTCAATTTCTGCGCGCTCTGTTAGCCGACCTTCTGCAAGGTCCTCCAATGAGCACGAGAGGACTTTGCGGCTGGAATGCGTGACTCGACGATTTTATAACCCGCTTTCAATTACCCTTCTTGGTGCTCCTGTTTCGTTCGCCTCGCGCCATTGCTGCAGAAGGAGAAGAAGAGGGAAATACCGCAATGCGAGCAAAAGGCATGAAACGTCCAAATGCCGCGTCGCGTCGTCGCGCAGCGACGCGTCGCATTGCGTTTGTATCCTTACCTCCTTTCTTGTCTGCCTACTCTTTTTCTCAGTCACAGGGACGTGATTTATTCGACGTCAGATAAACACGTACAATCTTGCGCGCAGTCAGGAATATGTTAGATTCTATAATGGTGTGCGTAGCTAGACAGGAAACGCATCTGAGGACATCCACCCTAACGAGCGAACAATTCGTTTTGGCTCGTTTGCTCTCTCTCTCTCTCTCTCTCTCTCTCTCTCTGCTGATGTCTGTGAATTCAAAACGATATCTGTAAGATATCAAACAATTAACTTGCTGCAAACGCAAATTTCTATTAGCTGAAGTAACATTAATAATTTTCATTCCTAAACATCCAACATTAGCGTTATAATAATATTATTATCTTAATATTAATTAGAAAACAATATTAATTATTATTATTGAAATAATCTTAATAAAATAATGTTATTGTAACGTCAGTGTTGAATGTTCAATATAGATATTAATAATTTCTTTACATAAATAAATAAATTCATTTTTTCCCAATAGGATTACAATATTACAAAAACATATTTATCCCTTTTCAGACCCCACACGATGGTACTGGTTCTGTTGATACCTGTAATCGGATTTGTGGCAGCAAATCCTTTTTCAAACACATTGAACAACCGCTCAGTCCCTCAAGTCCAAAAAGCGCTTTCGCTTTCCACGGAGAATCGTTTGGATATAATAGACGACAGTCCAGATAAAATAAATGAAATGGTAGAAAATATGAATGAGACTACTTTATCAATTCTGAAGCACACAATCCATCATCTCAAAGCTTCCGAATCGAAGACCCGTGAAAATGAAACAAATGAAAAAAGGACACAAGAACGGGAACATAAAACTTTATTTGTAGATTATCCTCTATTATCGCGTATCATACATTATCCAAGAGTGCCTGCGTATGAAATCGATTACAATGACAATTCAGAGTCGACAGCCAAGGATAGATCATTAAGCGAGTCTGATAGGAGATATCAAGAGAGCGATATTTTTTATATTCGACTACCACCCATTCCATATATATTTGTACCCGGTATCGGATATATCTCGCAACCACCCACGTACTCGAGCGCTCCCTTGAAGCCCCAGATACCCTTCGTTCCTCAACTAGTCCAGCTACATCACGTGAGACCCGTGCGACCTCAACCAGCCTCTCAGCAGACCGTTAATTCCTTCATCAAATTGCCTATAGACTTCATAAGCAACGGCAAGCCCACCTCCGTTTACCAATGGCAAAAGAAGCCTGGCAAGAAGCCAACCGACAGTCCAATCACGAACTTGGACAACCTGTCAGCCGACTTCGTGAACAACGGTAAGCCGACCTCTATTTATCAATGGCAAGCGAATCTCAGGCCGGTAAAGAGGCCGGATAATTCGCTTAACAGTCTTGATATGGGACCTTACACCTTTAATGGCAAACTAACCAGCGTGTACTTGCTTGAATCGAATGACTCCCCCACAATGCATCAATCTATTCGACATTCCAATTATCAAAATGTACGTGATTAAATTTAATTTAATGTGATCATGCCGAATATTCAAAATCGGAGCAAGCAATCATAATACGGAAGAAATTTGTAATGTCTCTAATGTGTATTTCTACATGTATTCAATATAGATTAACTTTAATCTCGATTTAATTTATTACTTATTTTTATCTTTCTCTAGTTTTAAGAATTAGAAAAAGGTAAAAAGTAAGTTAAAGAGATAATAAAATTAATCTACATTGATAGAAATAGACATTAAGCAAACCATAACGAGTGATAAATATTCTGCTACTATGTAGACAATCATTAAAACTATTTTAAAAATAATATAATTGTATTTTTTTTTTCTATAAATTGCACAGACTCGCGCGGGAATTAAATAATTTTATAAAGTGTGTAAAAAATTATATATATTATTCAAAGTTATTGTTTTAATTTATGTATATTATTGAATATTTATAGTATTTATTGGTCCGTGCAATATCATGAATTTGTAAATATGTGAAATATATGTACAAATGATGTTAAGAATAAGGATATACACATCATTTTTAACCTTACCCGTAACGGTAAAATAAAAAGCACATTTCCTACACTTAGTCCCTTATATACAAATATTGACATGGGACATGAGTTTGGTCAGATTGTCTGGAGTATATCCTGTCTGATTACAAACATGCGCAATTCATTCGGATTAGATGCGTAAGGGGATTCAATATCAAATTTATTTGTGATAATGTGATTTTGCCATTCCATCTTAAAATATTATATACTTATATTATGTATATATATATATATATGTGTAATGCGTGTATCGTACATATATATTATACAAAATGAGTTTATATATATATATAATTATACATATATTACTTGTTATACATATATTATTTATTATAATTATTTCGATAGTGATAAATCATTCTAACAGTATAATGTAATGATAGTGTCTATTATATTCGGTAAATACAAAAACATTATAATTAATGCTTTAATTAATCAATGACTTTACAAAAATACATTTAATATAGAAATGCAAGTGTCGAGTCATGTTAAAATAATAAATAAATAGAAAAATTATGCGAATTATAAGATCACAGCATTTATCCTTCTCGTTTAAATCACAGATATTTTTTTTTTTACGAAATGTAATTGGTCAGTAACATTTTGCTTATTTTATTTGGTAAAAGGATGTAATGTGTAAAACAATTATCTTCCTTGAACAAGATGTTCTTAGTATTTTGAATGTATACGTTCAATTACCAAAAAATGTGGTCCCAGAGGCAAGCGACTCGTCACCGATGTGGTCGTTCCTTGCAGATATTAAAGTAAATGCGCTATAACGGGTTACAAGGGTTCTCATCCAGATACAGAGTGGTAGAACAAGATCATAAACAGAGTTCTATAGATTCATTATAGTTTCTATGCGTTATCTTACTAATTAATTATTTTATTCATATCTTTATCATTATTCTATTCATATCTGCTTAATGCAATTTTGAAATATCAAATGTAACAAACTGCAATAAGAATTATGTACAAAACATAAAGTTATTTCTGATTAGATTTATATACACATATATATATATATATATATATATATATATATATATATAT